CAGAACCTTAGTGAAATCGCTCACAGTAAGCATGCAAAAAGGAAACAGTATCCTTTTGCAAAAAAAGGCTGAAAGAAAAGGTCTTTATTTTATTAATCTGGGATAGTCCATTTCATGTCATTAAGAAGTCCTAGATTTTATTTTCAGTTCATGGTGTGTGTTGATAGGTGTGCCTGAGAAGAGCCTTTTCCCCCAAAGCTCCTATGTACTTTTCATACACTCCATAAATATGAAGTCATTACAATGGTCCCCTTGAGGGAGAGATGGAATTGTGGGTTCAGAGAGCTGGTAATCGGATGCCTAGGCAGGAGGCACCAGGGCTGGTCGCCAGAAAGTAGTGGGAAATAAGATAGAGACCTGTTTACTGGGACTAGGATGTAGTCAGGGGCCTGGGCTCCAAAAACAAGGTGAACCCAGTTTCTAGTACAAAGGTATCTGTTCAGAGTTGGATGCACCACAAACTGATTTGGCGCCAAGCTACCCAGCAACCTGTACGTGGTTTCTTCAATGCCCGAAGACTAGCAAGAGGATTGGTTTGGCTAATATGCGCTCCGCCTGGAGTGCCCTTCCTACCTGTGTTACCTGGTGAACTCATGCATTCTTTAAGACTCAGCTCAACTGTCCCCTCTCCTGTGGCGCTTAGTCCTATGGATTTCAGTTTGGCAACATTCTCCCCTTAATTCATAAGCTGAGTTAATTGCATCAGGCTGGTGGGCCCCCACAGCATTGTGTACATGTTATATTTCATTTTGGTTGTTATTGTAGGAAAGCGTTATATCATATTGGCTTGGAATATGAACTTAGAAGTCTAACAGACCTCAGTTTGAGTCATGGCTCCAGTACTTGCTAGCTGTATGGCCTAAAGAAGAGGACTTGACATCTCTGTATCTAAGCTTTCTCATCTATAAAATGGGCTCATAATTTGTTGCCTACTGCATCTGGTTGTACCAAAGATGAAAAAAAAAAATGGTTCCTGTAGAGCACTTTGTATTATCCCTAGCACAGAAGAAGCCCTGTATTAACTTGGGTTCTCTGGTTGCCAGCAACAGAACCACTTGTGGCTAACAAACAAAATGGAAGGAAAACTGAACTAACAAGGACTCAGAAAAGACAGGGATCAGGGCTTTTGCAAGGATCTAGGGAGCAGAAACCAAGGGACAATTTCATCAGAGTGCTGCTAGCAGAATAAATAAGCTCCAACCATCTTTGATCTTTAGGTCATTCTAATCATGTTTATTCTCCAGGGTGAGAAGCTGACTGGCCTACCTTGGGTCACCTACCCACACCTTGATGAAGGAGTTTTAGTAGAGTAGAAAAAATGTGTCCCGGTGTCCCCCAAGCAGGTCTCACCCATCTAGTCAGCATCACTCATTTATATCCAGCCAGTGATCCTTACGACTTTTGCATATGTGACTGTTGCCGTAGACCAGTGCAGCTTTACTTATTAAATGTTACAATCACAGAACTCATTTTTTATAAGTTTTGGAGACAATGGGGAAATTCAAGTGAAGACTAAATTTTAAATAAAATTAAGAAATTATTATGAGCTTTGTTAGTGAGAAAATTCATTGACCCCCTGTTTTTTAATAGTCTCTGTTAGAGACGTCTATTGAAGTAATTAGAAGTGAAGGAAAAAAATAATCTCAGAAATTTCAAGTAGAAAGCAGATGTTGAGTTCTGCTAATCTGACCTAGGATTTTTTTAGGACAGGGAGATCTCTTCCTGTGGAAAGGCCTTCCCCTTCTGAGACTACTCTAACTTTTTTTAAAAAGATGTTTTATAGGTTAATCAAAATCCTTCAACTTAAGTCTTTTGCCGTGGTTTTGCTTATTGAAGCAATAGAGAACACATGTACTTCTACATATGTTAACATTTTGGTGAAAATGTCACACTTGTCTTATTTCTCTGCCTATTTTTTACGTTGTTGAGATGCCCACAATTACTAAGGGTTCAGCTTCCTGCTGAGTGCTGGTTGAGTGAACTGGGAGTGGCAGCCCAGGAGATGTTGCTTAAGAGCATTGTCCACAGAGTCAAAGTCATTGTTCCAGACCAAGACCTAGCCCCACCGGGTAGGCAGATCTCTAAAACTCAAGAGTCTGAGTCTGTGAAATCAGGGTCATCATAGGTCCCTCCCCAAGGTGGTTGTGATAATTAAATGAGAGAACAATCGGGAAGCACTTAGCACATTGCAGGCACCTTAGTAAGAGTTTGGGAAATGTTGGCTGGGATCCTGCTGCTGCCCTTAATTAGGCTGCCCGCTGGAAGCCTGCTCATATTATCTTCATTGATAGGGATACAAATGCATGGGAAAGCCAAGAAAGCAGGAAACAGCCACCACCAAGTAGTTGAACTGGAAGGTTCTTGGAGATGCACAGAAACTTGTGTAACATGGGTCATCTTAGCCCTGTAGCAGCAGCCAACCTCTGGTCCGCCTCACTTTGGTGTCTGCCATCACAGTGACTCGGCTACCCTGCTTTGGTCCATCAACTCTTGCTGTGGACTCTTGTCCCTCTCTACTTCATGGCTTCTGCTGCCTCATGATTGCTGCTTAGTGCCTTTCTCTGCCTCCACTGAATCCCTCCTGACCCGCCCCTCAGTCTCTAAGAGCCCATGTTAATCGGTTGGCTCATTCATCATGCAATATAAAAAGCATCTGTTGAGTAGCACTTGCTCCTTTCCAGGCCTCCTCACCGCCTGACATCTTGGCTGCCTTTGAGTCAGGTGACTCTCCTAGTCCACGCAGCAGGGCTCAGAGTAGAAGAAACTAGACTGATGGGAGAAGAGAATACTGTCTACCCAAAAGGAAAAGCTGAGACAAAATTAATATAGAAAGCTTATTTGGGACAAGGTTGAGGACTGCAGCCCAGGACACACTTCCAAGTTGCCTTAAGAAGTGCTCTGGAGAAGGAGAGGCCCAAGTGTTTAAAGAAAAAAAGGACAAATCAAGAAAGGGGACAGTTACAAAAGTTGTTTGTCAGGAATTAATTCTCCTTGGTTTACAGAAATAACGTTGATCAGTGATTGGGGGTTTGTTTGTTTGTTTGTTTATTTTATTTTTGAGACAGAGTCTCCCTCTGTTGCCCAGGCTGGAGTTGCAGTGGCGCAATCTCAGCTCACTACAGCCTCCACCTTCCAGGCTCAAGCAATTCTCCTCCCTCAGCCTCCGGAGTAGCTGAGGTTACAGGTGCCCGCCCACCATCACGCCCAGCTAATTTTTGTATTTTTAGTAGAGACAGTTTCACCATGGTGGCCAGGCTGGTCTGGAACTCCTGGCCTCCAGTGATGTGCCCGCCTCAGCCTCCCAAAGTGCTGGGATTACAGGCGTGAACCACTGCGTCTGGCCTGGCTATCCATTGTTGAGCTACAGGATGTGGGTTATAGTGTCCGGGGTAGTGGACACTAATGTGTCCAGTGCAGCTAGTTTTGGCTATACCAGGCAGTTTCTGGAGAAAAATACATAGCTCAAGGAGGGAAATAGGACTTGATTGCTGTCCATTTTAATGCCTCTCTAGACCTGATAAATTGAAAGAACTGGAATTCTTCAGATAAAAGTTCTGTTCTTTCCTCAGAGGTAAGACACCCAATTTAGAAAGACACAAAGAAACATTATTATCATCAGCTAATAAATGGTGGACTTGAAACACTACATCTCGATCTTTTGGATTCCAAAGCCTATTTTCCCCCCAACTCCTCATTTCCTTAACCGCCTTCGTACTTAACTTTCTCTTCTCATAAATCCGACACTCCTCCATCTTCATTAACCTCACTTATAAGTGAGATAAAAGCTTGTAAGTAAAAATATAAAGGATTTGTTCTCTTTCTGGAACTTCCCTTGATGACTCAACGTTAAAGGGTGGAATGTTTCGAACGTTTTTACTGTCTCAGTGATAAAATCTTTCACAGCCCTTTCAGCTGCATTTATTTATCAAAGGTGTCATCACTGTGGAAAGGGAGAAAAAGAGAAGCAAAGGCTCAAGCCCCCTCAGGATTCCGCAGAGCTAAGGATAGGTCCACCTGGCCACTTCCTAGCCCGGCTTTGCCTTCACTCTCACTGGTCTGAGAGTAAATTCCCTTTCGGACTCAAAGCAGTGAGCTGTCTTGGGGCTTGATGGCCCTTCATGCATTATTCATCCACCAATGCTCCAGAACGTGAGGAAAACTTCGGGCCCCTAGCTTGCCCACTCGCCCACCACAGAGCGCCAGCCTTTGCAAGCTGGCCTCATCAGTACAGGATTACGCAAACAGAGTTGTTAAAGACAGCCTCCTCCCCTCCTCACCCCGGAGCTGTCAGAGCTCTCCTGAGAGAGGGGCCTGCCTGCAACCTGTGGTCTCACAGATTGAACAAGCAAAATCCTAGAAAGGGAGTGGAGTAGTGAGGCCCAGAATACCCTGATTTGCATGAGAAAAGACCAAGATTGATGGTTGCTGAGAGATTGGCTTTGAGCCAAAGGAAAAACCCAGGGCCTGGAAGGATGGGAAGGAAGAAAAGAGTGATTGAAAAGTGTGATTGAAACTCACCCAGTGGATGGGGGTCAGGTAGGCGTGAGGCCCTGAGGCCCCTCCGTCTAAAAATCCCCGAGCCTCAAGCAGGGTTTGGGGTTGGGTTAGGTGGTGCTTGCTCAGCCGACTTCAGCTTTCAACTCCGGGTTCACCTGGGCTTTTCTTTTGAAGCTGTCTGAGGTATTATTATGAACTCCCAGAACATGTCTCAAAGAATGAGCAACACAAATAAATGTTTGTGTTTGGTTGATTACCATCTGGGGTTTCTCTTTAACTCACCTTCCAAGACACAAAAACATGCCGAAAGAGATTTTAGGCATACATACACATACATCCATCACGTACTTACGTGTGGTGCACATTTCTTTTAAAAAGGAAAAGAACGCACAACCTTCCTCAGGTTTCTCAAAATTCTCGCGCTGCTTTCGGGGAACACTGAATGAGGAATGCTGAGAGATGAAAATAAATCTGAAGGAACAAACTCCTCTGCTGTTTTTCAGGTTTTACATTGAGAGCATATCGTTTTTAAAGGATAAAACCACCGTGGAGCTGTTTTTCCTGAATGCAAAGGCCTGCGTGCACAAGGTAGGTGCCCCGTTCGTCTTTTCGATGAGTATGTCCTACCCGCCGACTACACACATGCACAAATGACATCTTTTCTCAAATTCTGAGTGGGAAAGACAACCCTCTGCAGGGGATTCCTGAGTATACACAATCCCCACTACTTTAAATGCAGCATATAATTGACAGAGTGACCCAGAAAGACAGAAAGATGGATCAATCAGATTATCATCAAAACGTCTAGACCAGAAATCTTTTTAAATAAGGTATGCCCTACACTTACAGTAATTCAAAACCAACCTTATTTCAGTTCAATTTCTGCCTTCTGATCCCTGCACACACGAGCCACCTTAAATCTAGGGAAGGAAGGCGGCTCACAGCCACATGTTTTCAAGCAGTATCTCAGTTATCTGTGGTAAGGACAGGGTTTTTCTCTTATTGTTTTTTATTTCTATCTAATGCATCAAGGACAGATCACTTTTATAAAATTCAATAAACATGCATTGCTAGAAAAATAATCCCATGCTGGGATGTTACGGCCATGTCAAATTGCTATAAAAGTTTTTACGGCCGGGCACGGTGGCTCATGCTTGTAATCGCAGCACTTTGGGAGGCCAAGATGGGCGGATCACGAGGTCAGTAGTTCGAGACCAGCCTGGCCAACACAGTGAAACCCCGTCTCTACTAAAAATACAAAACTTAGCTAGGCGTGGTGGCGTGTGCCTGTAATCCCAGCTACTTGGGAGGCTGAGGCAGGAGAATCACTTGAACCCTGGAGGCGGAGGTTGCAGAGAGCCGAGCTTGTGCACTCCAGCCTGGGCGACAGAGTTAGACTTTGTCTCAAAAACAAAAACAACAACAAAAAAAAGTTTTTAAACACTCTCAGTTTTTTGTCTTTTCTCTTTGCAGACTAGCATAGCTTTAAAAGCCTTCACTGTGGTCTCCTCAAGCAACTTCCTGAGGAAGGGAAGGGAAGCCATGGGCCAAGAGATGCCCAGTGGAGCCTGGCTCCTCCCTTGTACGTTATAATCTCAATGCTTGAGATCTCAGAATTCCCTCTCCAGACTGCATGCCTGTTTCCAGGCCTTCTTTTAGGTTTATTGAGCATGTTAGGTGTTCATTTTACCTCTTTTGTTGGATTATTAGCTATAACTCTTTGTTATTTCCATGGTTACTTTACGGTTTATAGGATACATTTTTAACTTATCAGATTTACTTTCAAGATGATATTATACCACTTCACATGTAGTATAACAATCTTACAATAGTATGCTTCCATTTTTCTCCTCTCAGCCCTTATGTGATTGATGTCATACAATTTACTTTTTGATAAGTTACAGATGCACATGACATTATTATTTTTGTGTAAATATTCAATTAACTTTAAAGAAATTCAAACAGTACCAAAAGTCTTACATATTTACCCATGGAGTTGGCATTTCTATTGCTCTTCATTCACTTGTGTGGATTAATATTTCTGTCTGTTATGATTATTTCTGCCTAGAGGACTTCCTGTAGCATTTCTTACAGTGTGGGCATACTGGTGGTGAATTCCTTCAGCTTGTGCCTGAAGACATCTTTATTTGCCTTTGGTTTTGGAAACTATTACACATGATGTAGGATTCTGTGTTGGCGGTTTTTCTCTTTCCGTATTTAGAAATACTGATTCACTATCTTCTTGCTTGCATTGTTTCTGATGAGAAGTCTGCTGTCATTTTTATCTTTGTGTTTCTGTATGGAATATCTTTTTCTTTAGCTGCTTTTAAATTTTTCTCTTTTTCTTTTTTCTGCTTTGAGCAAGTTTTTTTTTTAATTTTTATTTATTTATTTTTTTTTATTTTAAAGATGGAGTCTCGCTTTGTCACCCAGGCTGGAGTGCAGTGGCGCCATCTCAGATCATTGCAACTTCTGCCTCCCAGGTTCAAACGATTCGCCTGCCTCAGCCTCCCCAGTAGCTGGAACTATAGGTGTGCACCACCGCAACCGGCTAATTTTTGTATTTTTAGTAGAGATGGGGTTTCACCATATTGGCCAGGCTGGTCTCAAACTCCTGACCTCAGGTGATCCACCCGCCTGAAGCCTCCCAAAGTGCTGGGATTACAGATGTGAGCTGCTGCACCTGGCCTGCTTTGAGGAATTTTATTATGAGGTGCCTTGATATAGCTTTCTTCATGTGTTTCTGTATGTGTGTATGTCATTGGCATTTATTGAGCATCTTGGTTTGTTGTCATCAAATTCAGAAACATTTTAGCCATTATTTCTTCAGATTTTTTTTGTTTTTTGGCCTCATGTATGCCTCATTTGCAAAGCCCAGTTACACATATACTAGGCCAGTTGAACTTGTCACACAGTGATGCTTTGCATTTGTGGGGATTTGGGGGAATATGTTATCTTGTATAGTTTCTCTTTGTCTTCAGTTTCACTCATCTGTTTTTTGTAATCTAACCTGCCATTAATCCCATTTTGTACATCAGAGTTTTTGTTTTTGTTTTTGTTTTGTTTTTGAGATGGAGTCTCACTCTTGTTGCCCAGGCTGGAGTGCAATGGCGCAAACTTGGCTCACTGCAACATCCACCTCCCGGACTGAAGCGATTCTCCTGCTTCAGCCTCCCGAATAGCTGGGATTACAGGCATGTGCTACCACACCCAGCTAAGTTTTTGTATTTTTAGTACAGATGGGGTTTCACCATGTTGTCAGACTGGTCTCGACCTCCTGACTTCAGGTGATCTGCCCACCTCAGCCTCCCAAAGTGCTGGGATTACAGGCATGAGTTTTTATCTTTGGAGGTTTGATTTGGAGTTTTTATCTTTAGAGGTTTGATTTGGATCTTTTTTACATCTTGCATGTGACTATTTAACTTTTTGAACATATTAAATATAGTTATAATAATGGTTTTAATGCCTTTGTCTGCTTACCCTAATGTCTGTGTTAGCTCTGGGTATTTTCGATTGATTTTTGTCTGTATTTTGGGTGATGTTTTTCTGCCTATTTGCATGCCTGGCAGTATTTGATTGGATGCTAGGCATTATTAATTGTATCTTTTTGAATGCTATATATTTTTTTATTCCTATAAATATTCTTGATGTTTGGTTTCGGAATGCAGTTTAGTTACTCAAATATGGATTGGTTTTTTCAGGTCTTGCTTTTATTATTTGTTAGGCTAGCCCAGAGCAGCGCTCATTCTGTAGCTAATTATTCTGCATACTGATCTTCCTGAGTACTCTATTCAATGCCCCGTGAATTATGTTTTTTAGTTTGGCTGGTGGGAATAGGCACCACCTCCAGCCCTGTGTGAGGACGAGGCACTCTTCCCTCTTATGGTTTCAGATGGTCTCCCACTTTGGGTAGTTTCTTTCAGTGCATGGAATGATCAGTGCTCTACTGAATCCTCAAAGGACACCCTCTATAGATTTTCAGGGTTCTCTCTCTTCACAGCTCTCTTTTCTCTGGCAGTCTGTTCTGCAAATTCTATTCATTTTGATCTCCTGGACTAAGGAGTTGCTCCATCTCCTTAGCTCAGGGAGTTCACTGTGTTCCGTTGTGTTTCTCCCTCCACAGCCTGGAGCCGTCTCTTGACAGTAGTGGGGGCAATCATAGGGCTCACCTTGTTCAAGGTTCACTATCTTCATTGCTGGATATTCAGTGTTATGAAAACTGTTGTTTTATATATTTTGTCTGTTTTTGTTTTTGTTTTTTTTCAGTTAAGAGGATAAATTCAGTCCCTGTTACTCCATCTTGGCTGGAAGTATAAATATTCAAAGCAGAGTTTTTGGCTGAGTCTATGGGGAAAGTAAAATGTTCCCAGTATCAAAGACTTTACTACAGCCCTCTTTTCGAGACTCAGGTTTTCCTAAGAACTCTAAGGATTGACTGATGAGTAGACACCTATATAACAAACACAGCTTTTCAAACACAGCATTTACTGAGTCAGGAGCACGTTTCATAAACCACAGTTGGCCATCCTCTCCTATGTAGAGAAATACAATTGCTCCTTGTAATATTTTTCACTGCTTTGTTGGCATTGATCCAGTGTTTTCTCTTGCTAATGCAAAGATGGTTAGAAGGCAGATTTTCAACTCCTGACATTTCTCTTGTACCTCTGTATGCTAAATTCTGTTTGTCTTGAGAAAGCAAGGAAAAGCAGAATTCCTTTAAATGCTGTTGCATTTTATGAATGTCAGTTGCTGGGAGCTCCTTTTTTTTTTTTTTTTTTTTTTTTGAGATGGAGTTTCACTCTTGTTGTCCAGGCTAGAGTGTAGTGGTGCGATCTCAACTCACTGCAACCCCTGCCTCCTGGGTTCTAGCGATTCTCCTGCCTCAGCCTCCCGAGTAGCTGAGATTACAGGCACCCACCACCAAGCCCAGCTAATGTTTTGTACTTTTAGTAGAGACGGGGTTTCACCATGTTGGCCAGACTGGTCTCAAACTCCTGACCTCAAGTGATTCACCCGCCTCAGCCTCCCAGAGTTCTGAGATTATAGGTGTGAACCACTGCGCCTGGCCTGGGAGCTCCTTTCTAAATGGGAGTGTTTCATGACTTGTCAGATAATTTAGAACTTTTACAGAACATAATATTGTAAGGCACTATGACTGTTATTGAGATAATTTTTTTAAATTTTTATCTGTAGGAATTTAGAGTTGGATATTTTCTATCTAATTATTATGCAGATGGCTGGGTGTGGTGGCTCACACCTGTAATCCCAACACTTTGGGAGGCCAAGGCAGGTGGATCACTTGAGGTCAGGAGTTCGTGAGCAGCCTGGCCAACATGGTGAAACCCTGTTTCTACAAAAAAATACCACAATTAGCTGGGTGTGGCAGTAGGCGCCTGTAATCCCACCAACTCTGGAGACTGAGGCAGGAGAATCGCTTGAACCTGGGAGGCGGAGGTTGCAGTGAGCCGAGATCACACTACTGCACTCCAACCTGGCAACAGAACGAGACTCCGTCTCCAAATATATACATATAATGCAGATGGCTGGTAACAAATTCCAAGAGATGTTCCAGGATCAGGTAGCTGTTT